GACGTTGTGTCCATGCCAGCCGTGCTGCCGCTGTAGCGCTGCCCGGGCAGCCCGGAGTTCTCCGTCGGTACCGTATGTTAATCAGTTGTGCAACTTAACGGCAGAATTTTCGCTGCTTCCACGAGGCACGAGGTCAGCTCCCCTTTGACTTACCGGATGTGAGATTTTTACTGGGAAAATTGGTGTTAAAGTTCCGTTTTTTTTTTCCTTTCAGTAACTGGAATGAGTCCTTTGTCCCCATATTTAAACTTGGATCCCAGATATCTAGTACAGGTGAGAAGGTGGCTTGTTTTATTGTGTTGAACTGGATTCCATTGTATGTATGGCCATATGCGAGGATCTCTCTGTAGTGCTGCATACTGTGTGCTGAAGTCTTGAAGTGATGAACAGTTGAAAGGCATGATTTTTTTCGGTATTGTGCCTAATAAAAGCTTGCGGTGCCATGGCATCTGGAAGAAGAAAACCAGCTTTAATATAGAGCTTAAGTAAGACTTGTGTCAATATAAGCCTGCTGCTACTGAAAAACAGAGGTCTTCTGCTCTGTTCTGAGGCATAAAGCCCCAACACACCCTTGTACAACTTTTGGCATTTGTCACACCCTTCACTGAGCCCCTTGAAGCAGCACCAGCAGCCAGAAACTCCCTGCTCTCTTGATGGGTTAGGTTTCTGTACTGTGATGAGTTTGATCAGTTTACAGAGGTGTTCAGCCAAACCCCAGACTCAATACAGGCTTTGTCATCATATGGCCCATAGGCCACCATAGAGAAAATAAAATAATTTAAAATCCTAGGTTTTTCCCTTCTCAACAATATTAACTATAGCTGAAACGGTGTAAGTCCAATAAGGATGCCTTAAAATGATTTTACTTAGTATTTTCTATACATCTATAAATATATGGCTTATATTACCTGAGAACATTAAATTTTGCAAGAAGTAGCACTGAAGGTAAACAGTTGTATAGTATCTGCTAATCTGGGTACCTTTTGTTTCATGGTACACCGGGTCACTGCTACTTTTGTAAGTGGCAAGCTCTGAATGCAGTTCTGGAGCTGGTTTTTACATTTCAGTAAAAGCTGTTGTCAAGATTACAACATAACATGGTAGAAAATAAGGGATGTACCTCTCAAGTGGATTCAGTAGTGGTTATCTGGCCTGCCACTGTTGAGCAGTCAGAAAATGCTAAGTGATTATTTAGACCTCTTCCAAAAATACCCTCTAAAGTTGCCCTGTTTAGTTAGTACAGTACATCTGGGAAAATGTTGGTGTTAAAAATGGTATAATAGTTTTTGGAATAAACTGTGTTTACTAATAGATTTCATTTATTTTTTTAAGCTTGCTTTAAAAGAAAAGAAAGCATTGGCATTAGTGTCGTGAGGAACATATAAAACAGTTCTACAACACCTATCGGCGTAACACTAGAGGCTACATTTTGTGTTGCCACGCTTCACTGCTCTTTATGTTTAGCACTAACAAGGACACTGAAACAAAAAGGAGTTCCATTTAAATGTGAGGAAAAAATGTTTTTACTTGAACAAGTTGCCCACACAAGCTACAAGGTCTCCATCCTTAGAGAAGCATTTGCTGGCCCTGCTTTGCAGAGAGGTTGCACTACAGTTTCCTCAGGTCCCTTGAAACCTGAACAGTTCTGTGATTCTGAAAGCTTAAGGAAAAAGACATAGCTAATATTTCAGAATCTTGGAGCATTTAAAATCGGTTTGTCTGTGAAGGTGTGTGTAGAGGACTGAAAGTCTCCTGTTTTTAAAGACCATCCATTTGCATTCAGAATACACGGGGGAAGTCAGTCTTACTGTGCAGATCCTTACATTTTGATCCTGGCCTTCCCATAACAGCAAATGGTACAATGCTACTCATGACTTTAAAACACACTTTATTCATTAGGCTATTGATGCAGGCACAAAAATGTGTTTTCTGCAATGCTTTTGTTACCTTCAGTAGATATGCATTATAAAATAGCATGCCAGCCTTTGTCAGAAACCTCAAGGATGGGCTTCCTAGGTTGTTGTCTGTATAGAAACTCAGAGGTTACATACAGGCAATAATTGCTTCACCTGGAGTCTTTGGTCAATAGGAAAACTGTTTGAAGTTGGTAACTAGGGTATGCACTGAATGTCACCGAATACTTAGTTACAGGGAAGATAGAAACCACATTATAGGTTCAGTTTATTGATAAAATAGAATTTTAGAAGTTGTATATTTTTTCTGTATTGCCATCCATGTTTAGTGCCAAGTATGGACTAAGAAAACCACCTAGAATGTAATTACTTGAGCCTGCAGTTGTTGCAGTTGTATCAGTTAAACTGGGGGTGAATGATAATATGACTGGAAAGCATGGAAGCATAGAAAGAGATCTTAATGCTTTAGCACCTTATCAATACATGTGCATCTTGTCAGTGTCTCATACCAAGAGCGCTTTGTCCCACCTTACCTCTACACAAATGCTAGTTCTCAGCCCTTTTCTCCAGCTTTATAGAACAATACGATTTAGGAGAACACAAGCCTGTCCCTGTGGGAGAAAGATACACATGTGAAAAACGCAACCAACCTCGCGTATTTCATGCCTGATTATGACCAGTATTGAATGTATTCCTCGCTTTTTTCCTGTCTTCAAAATAGGTCATTTATTTCAGTGCAGGTAAATACTTCTTCAGTACAAAGGCAGCTTTCCTTTAGTGTCGTAATAGTGGGAAACCTTAATGCATTACTGCATCAGTATAGGTTGCTCAGTGCTACGTAATCAGACAATGAAGGTTTGTAGAGCAGTAAGTCTTATGTTGCCTGCAGCAAGATGTAGTAAATAATTAAGCAAATTGTTATTAAAAAACAACCAACATCTCACATATTTGGCTGCCTGATGTAGTTTATAAATCTAGGAAAGAAAAAGCAGCTCTCAGTTTATTTTTTTAAAAGTTGGGAATTTTTTTTTTAATTCTTATTAAAGTATATACATAGTTTATTCATTTCTCTGTGCTAATGTAGACAGCAGTTTTCCAGAAGCACTGATTGTATCTGTCTTTTCTTTAGTTCACATTGTGAGGCAGGTACACTTGGAAAATACAAATGCTTTTGTTTTGTTTCCTCCCAGGATACAGATGAGTTTATCTTGCCCACAGGAGCCAACAAAACTCGAGGCAGATTTGAGCTGGCCTTTTTTACCATTGGAGGATGTTGTATGACAGGTAGATTTGCGTTTTTCACTTTTCCCAGCTGCCCAGGTAACACCTGTGCTATGCATGTACTACAGTAATTGATAGGATTGTAAATATCTTGTTTTGCAATCTGGTCTTACATAAAGAGCTACTTCAGTCAGTACACTGAAGTCTATTCTCAGTATTTGTTTCTAGTATTGTTCTTTCTGTTCCTTTTTCTTCTTAAAAAGTAATATCTGATATTATGCAAACTAGGAGCAGCATTTGGTGCACTGAATGGTTTGCGACTTGGCTTGAAGGAGACACAGAATATGGCGTGGTCAAAACCTAGAAATGTACAGTAAGTGCTCCATCTCTAAAAAAGTACACCTTTGTTGTTTCCTCCAGCTTGTATTTTTGTGTCTTTAGTGGGGACAAATGAGAATGAGTTATTAAATGTTTTTAGTTATAATGGTACTCAGTTCAAGCTTTTTGCCTTGCATTTAGTGACAATTGGTATGTCCTCTATTTACATTAAATATTTGAGAATTAATTGCTTAGATATTTACTAGAAATTTACTTCAAAGTCAAACCAGTGGTTTGGTTGAAATATTCCCGGAAGCAGCACGGTTTGCTTTGAGCTGTTTTTTGCTGTCACTTATCTGAGAGCAAGCTCTTTCTTCTTTCCCAAAGTTTTCAAAAGCAGGAAGACATTAAAATGCAGAAGCTGTGCCTGCCTGGATTTGCATTAGGGATGACACTGGCCCGTGCTGCTGAGCAAGTGTTGCATGGCAGAAGTTGTTCCAGATTACAGCGTCCATGGACACCCATGGCATTCCCATGTTTTTGCTCTACCTGGTTGTTTGAAGGCATGCAGTTAAGATAGGAACATTTTTTTTTGGCAGTATGCTTCTCCTTCTAGCATTACTAGTAGTTTAGACATAACTGTGAGAAAACTTAAGTGCCTGTGAAAAAGGCATAGGAAACTAGAGGAGTGGCGTAACTGGGGAAAACCATTTTCACTCCCACAATATTTTGGAAAACTGGAATTTTAGAGGAAGAATTTAGTATTTCCTGGTACAGTTTGTACTGGCTCTGGTCCTTTTAAAATTATCTTTCTGTAGTCTTCATCCCCTTCTTTACCTTCTCTAGAGCTATTAGAGATATTCCCAACCATAATTTTGACTCTTGATAATGTTCTAGATGAACAGAATTGTATTTTACATACTCAGAATGAACAGAAGCAGACAAAACCATGTTGTTAGTGCAACCTTTGATGGGTCGAGCCCAGTAGGTGGCAGTCGGTGCACATGCTGCAGTTAGTCCTCGCCCTTCAAGGGAAAAGGCCTGTAGAAGGTCATCGCCTTCTACTAAGTTCCATGTTTTCCTAATCGGATGCAGGGAAAAGACTTGCCTAGGTAGATTTTCTTCAAATTTATCCTTAATGCACACATTTATTTGTTAATTTGAGTTTTGCTGTTAATCCCCATCATTGATTATCACACAGTGTGTCATGGTTATTAAAATTACAACTTTTCTCATCAATTCAGAATTGATGTAATGTTAACAAAATGGGGGTGGGGGTTATAATTAGGGGGAGACTGTCAGTTCCCTAGTCTCCTGGATTTTCTTTTTTTCCTCATGTTTTAAAGTGTTTTCCGTTACTGTTTAGTTCATTGCCTAACCATATTCAGTAATGGCCTGTGTCTCCTAATGAAAATTATAAAAAAAGGAAAAATAGTTCAAAATGGACACAAATCAGAAAGAACGTGACGTGGGACACTTTCATTGCTTTAAAAGATAAACTGAGCTCCAGTGGTAGTCAGCTGTCCAGAGCAGTATGCCTGTGATAGTGTTACGCTGCTGGGAGATAAAGATCAGTCATTTCTTCTTGGTGCTGTTGTCACCGTTCTGGAGACAGCTGATGCCAAAAAGAAGTGGCCATGTGCTTCCCTGAGAGTGCGCTAAAGATTTGCTTTCCCTCTTTAGTGCTAGTCTGGAAGCATACATACAGAAATGCTCAGGGTACTTGACCTTTTGTTGAGTGCCAAGTTTGACAAATGTAAGAGCGAAAGATTGCCTCTCCCTGACTTGCTTTAGTTCAGACTTGCTTTTAGTACACATGCCACTTGTTCAGGCATCACCATGCTCCCTGACACATAGTTCCTGTATTGCTTTGCACCTTCTAGAAGATCACTCTAGCCTTCTTGGAGGTCTTCTACCAAGTTAAGTCAGCATAAATGCTGACTCAAATGTACCAGTCATTCTCGGTAGCTACGTGTAGTAAGCATATAAGGAATATTTATCAACTAGGGTTAGAAAGTAATTTGAAGGGAAGAGACTGGATTCTTGGTAAGAGGCAAGTTTGACTTGAAAAGAGAGAAAGATTTTCTTAAGGGTTGACAGGACAAAATATTTGCTTTTGTAATTGCCTGCATTACTATTCATATTATGCATGATAGAGAAGATTATGTATGTAAGTTATGTGATTTTCCTTACTGTTGTGTTTTGAAGGGCTTTTGATTCATTATTCCAGTTTTATTAATCAAATGTGTAGTGTAGACACATTACACATATCTTAAACACTGCCTCAATGTAAACACAGAGCTAAAGGTTTTAATTACTTTTTAACTCCTTTATAGAATTCTAAATATGGTGACAAGGCAAGGAGCGTTATGGGCTAACACTCTGGGATCTCTGGGTAAGTAAAGTCATTACTTTATAGGGAAAACAATTCAAAGATGTAACTGTTTGATGAGGAAGTTTATTCTCTACATTTTCATTATGACATCCATCAGGAATCGGGAAAAGCTGCAGGTTTTTTTTTCATTTGGGGCATGCGGGCATTTCAGTAGACATTGAAAAGGAAATTAAAGGATAAAATAGGATTTGAAATATTAATAGCCAAAAGCCTGTAAATAACCCCCCAAATTTTCAGTATATTAGAAACAAGAACTGTAGCTATGGAATAACTGAAAACTATAGATAATGATTACTTGCTAATAAATTCCAGTTATTTCACAACTTAAGGCAAAAAAATCAGTACTAACTTTAGTAATCTAAAGAGAGACTCAGTGGTCATGTGAGCAACTGCCTGATGTCTGTTTCCAGTTAAAGCAGCATGATAGCAGCTAAGGAGATCTACCCTTCTATGTTGGTAGCTTAGCTAGAAAAATCACATATTATATCACCCACTTTAAATCTAAATGTTGCTTATAACGTTTAATATGGGTTAGAAAAAAAAGAGTAAAGAAAATGAACAAAAGCCTGATGTATGAGAAGAACTTCTGCGAACCAAGGTTTGGGTGGGGAGGGGGACAGGAAATAGAAATCACATCAGTTGCCTCAGAAAAACAACTTCAGATGATTTCATAAAAGTTAGTGGAATAACTTAATGCCCTGGAGAATACAAGCTCTTTGCCCACCCCGCTTCCCACTTCGATCTTAAAAGACCAAAGGGTTCTCAGTTACTTTGAAAGGAGAAATACAAAACTGATGAAAACATTTTGAAGGTTAATGATGGGACTCATTGGTCCACAAAGTGGTAATAGAAGAGAAATCAGCAATATTTAAAACAGATACTACATCATGTTATAACCCAGTCTACATGTATTTGAATTTTGGAGAGTGCATCAAAACATAGGCTAGGTTGTATTTATTGCATTTTGTTTCAGTCTTATTTCTAAAAAGTAGATTAGCCTGCCATTTAACTCAGATATTAGCTTTTGAGGCATAAGAGAGGCCATGGTTAGATACAGGATTCTGAACTGCTGCAAGAATGGCATTTCTCCTAGGAGATGCATTCTGCCTAGTGACCTTTATGGTGGGATTGGGTTTTTTCTTTTCTGATTTTCTATTCCAAATCTAATCAAAACATAGCTGAAAACTGAGATGCAGGCACATTGCAGTTCAAGGTCCCAGGTTAAGTGACACATTAACAGTTTTTTCAGCTGTGTTTGAAGAAAGATTACTCAAGAAAATGTTTGTGCATTCCAGTAACAAATTGTTATTTTTCTTGCAAAATATGGCCTCCTGTGTCATAGAGTTAAGCAGAACTTGATATTTTGGGATTTGATATAGCCCTGCCTTGGCCTAGCTACTGGAGAAGTTCCTTTCAAAGCAGCTGAAGTATTATTTTTCATCTTATTCCACTTGTACAGCATTTTTGTACCTCAGCAATTCCTTTTGTCAACACTGACAATTTGTGTCATTCACTTCCTGAATAGAGATAGCAACATCTGTGTTAAACTGTTTTAAAAAATATTGACTTCAGCTTTTCCTTCTCATTGTTAATACTACATGCTACTAAGAGAAGGTAAAAAACATTGCCTATGCTGAATGCAGAAAGATGTTCCCATTCAACTCATTGACATTAATGTAGTTGCTTATGAAGGGTTTACATGCTTTTCAGCAGAAGTAAAGATTTCAAATTCTTGGAGAAGTGATGAATTGAAGTGGCGTGTGTTGTCTTTATCACTGTAAAATGATGACATACTCTACTGTTCCATGTCAGCATGAAATAAGAGTATATCATGAGGAGGGCGGATGGGGGTGCCTTCTCCCTTCCTCAAAACAATAGATTACATATGCATTTATACTAAAAGCCCACACATTTCTAATACTTTCCAGATAGTCCCCAAAGTTCTCCCAAAGCAAAAGGCCCTGTAGGGACAAAGTTTTCACATGCAGGCAGAGATGGAGTAGCTGTAAATGTCAAATCCCAAGCAATTCAGTAGTCATTTGTAAGGGAAATGTGGCACATTGTACTTAATAACATGATCTGAATGCTGCATTTAACTTATATTTCATCTCAGTCATACGTGGGGAACAATTTTCTCTACTACCTAGAAACTGGTGTCGAGTTTAGTTTCATGCCATCCACACAAGGCAATATAAAGCCTGTCAGTACAAAGTTAAACCCTCAAAAGCTTTCCATATGAATTTGAACTGGTAAAACTTCAGTCAGTGCTTTACATTACACATTTATCATGTCTTGAGGCAGTATTAGATGCCATGAAGAATGCTACTTTATAACCAAACTACAGCTGGAGAATGAAAAATTACCTGTAAAATAGAAATAGGTCTGGAAAAAAACCACCAAAGATGGGATTTTGCTGAGGCTTCTCCCCCTTTAAATAAACAGAAAACCTTTGCTTCAGAAGCATGGGCTAAATGGTTACACCAAGCTTGGATTCTGAGCCTTATGTCTCAAAGAATGTGAGATACAATTAACTTGAATTTTTTATGTTTTTCTTTTCCAGCTCTACTTTACAGTGCATTCGGAGTCGTCATTGAAAAATCACGAGGTGCAGAAGATGACCTGAACACCATAGCTGCTGGAACCTTGACAGGAATGCTGTACAAAAGCACTGGTAGAGTAACAAAATGTTTCTAGTTTTTCTCCTCTTGTGCGTTATCCTAGTTATTAGGGTTCTCATTGCTTTTACCAAATACTGTCCTGCTCTGAAAACTGCAGTGTAAAAATGGTGCACTAGGAGCTAAGACCTATTAGTTCAATGTCCCCTAACCCACACATTGTTTTTCACCCAGCTAAGACCACTTAAGGAAAATGTGTGCTTTGAAAGTTCCAGCTGATTTACATCGGATTCTTTCCAGCTTGCACAGGACTAACAATAACCAGGAGAGGCAGATTATGTTTGTTACACATATAAGCTGAATTAACATGTAGGTATTTACTCAGATTTATAGTGTGATTGTATAATTACATACCCAGCTCATTCTTAGCCATGTTTTTTAGGTACAGCAGGAATAAAACCAGTAGTTTCTCAAGTTCATGGATAAACTCAAGAAAGTGGGAGCTACCTTCCAAAGTGAAAGGGAGCAGGGGAGGGGAGGAATACACAGAACACAGCTTGAATGCATCAAAGTGAAACTTACTACAGGTGATTCATATGATAGTACCAGAGCTGCAAAAAAAACCTGCACACAGAGGAACTGATATATCTATGAAGTTATTACTTAGCTGTTAGTGAAACAGTTGTCCTGTGGTAGGACTCTAATCTTTGCATAGTGGTTAAAACCAACAGTGTTATTTGAGAACAGCATGGATTTAAGGTTAGTTTGCTGATGCAAACTGAGTTGTTAGCAGAAGAGAGGGCCTGAGTTTCTTCAGCAAAACATTTGTTAACACATATTCCAAGCTCAGGAGTTGAAGGGATCATCTTTTTTAGAGGACTACTGGGTAGCACGGATTGACTACTACAGGAAAAAGATATTAGTTTTAAGTACCTTGATAAAGGTTTGCTGTATGATTCATTACTGAGGAGATAATTCTAGAATTTACCTGTGTACTTTTACATATCTAGCTGAGCCTCAGTGTCTTAAAAGTGTTTCTGAAGGTCAGCTTTATATATGGGGCAAAGTAGTTTGAGAAGTCTTATTCTTCTGCTGTCCTAGACTAATTGAAACCAAAAATAATTGGCTTGAGCAGCCTTCATAAGTACTAGCTTGTGTACTTAACCTTGCAAGAACACACAGCGACAGCTGGATAGAGTAGCAGCATAGAAGTCTAGCATTTTCTGCAGGAAGTTATTAAGAACTGCTGTCTTGCACCCCAGCAGAAGCTTCCCCATTACCTTTCAGAAGTATAGAGCTGTCATGATGTGTAATCTGTTTTTTTTCCTGGTGCAGTGCAACCATGGATAACTACTCCAGTCACATGCACCATCATCTGACACCACAAAAAATTTTTTTGCCAGAGCACAGTGGGACTTTGTTTTGTAACATAAGATCTACTGAGCCAATAGTAGTACTGATAAAGGTAAATGTAGTCAGTAACTGTATTCTCTTTCAAGTACGTCATGCATATGAACTGTAATGCACAGAAAAAAGAAACGTTATTCACTGTATGTATGAAATTTGAATGGCACAGTAGACCTTAAAGGTCAAGGATTAGTTCTGTAAGTGAACAAGATTATATTCACGTCTGTTTGAGAATTTAATTCAAATCTTATTTTCCTCTTTTCTTTCATGCTCTGTCCTTCTTGCTGCTTCTCCCATGCTGCTTCTCCTGTCACCTTATGCCAGAATACCCTTCCTAATTCTGTATGGTAAAGCTTCCATCCAAGTTATGCCTTTATGCAGCATCAATATATAGCTACCTAAAAACCCTTGAATATTTCAACCATATGCAAATGATCATTTCACGTCTGTAACATATCAGGATTGTAATCATTTCCTGTGTTACATGGAACATCATGTTGTGTTGGCATTGAAAAAGGAATATTTGAAAGCCATCGGGGACACTTCTAAATCCCCACGTTTTAGTGTCAGCTGCAAACTCCCACAAATATGCCATTTCAAATCAAGGCTGTTCTGCAATCCACAAAGTTGGGGGCAGTGCTATTCAAACACTCAGATTTCCCACCTCCATCATTCCTGTTTTATAAAGAGATCAGGAATATATTTAAGAAGAAGCTGTATAAAGTATGACAGGTTTTTTTATTATGGCTTTAAACATAGCACTGATGGAAGAATCACGTCAGCAACCCTGCTGCTCTGAAAAATACTCGTGTACACCGCAAAGCCTAAACTAAATTTCTGAAATAAATTGCTAAGCCTTTGCAAGGGGGGTGAATGGATGGAAAAAATAGTGGGAAAAACTTGAAGGCTGAGATTTGTTGCCCCAAACTGGTCCCAGTTTTCACAATTTATCCAAGTAGAAGTGTTAGGGAGTCATAGAATGGTTTAGGTTGGAAGGGACCTTAAAGATAATCCAGTTCCAATCCCCCTGCCATGGGCAGGGACACCTTCCACTAGACCAGGTTGCTCAAAGCCCCATCCAGCCTGGCCTTGAAATGATGTTAATCATTACCAAAATGCCAGCAGTCAAACAAAAAAAGGCTTTCCAAAATACGCGTGTTCGAAAACCATTAGATTGTGAGTGGTTTTGTGCAAGGTTACTTAACTCACGGTTTGTGTGAGAAGATAAAAGAGCATTAAGAAGTCAGCATATGAAGACTGTGTTCACTGGAAGTGTTGTTAGTCACTCTAAGTTCCCCATTACAAGTAACTAAAGTAGTTAAGTCCCCAAGACCTCTGATAGTTCTCCTCGGAATGAGTCAGATACTGATACCTTGCCATTATACATGGGTGTTAACTGGGATCTGTCTCAGTGAACCATATGGCTTAGGTTAACAGATTTTAAGTTGCGTTTGAAAGTAAAACTGATTTGAGGAGCTTTGAAACAGCATGCAAGCAGATGCCTTTGACCAAAGTGATCTCTAGGTTTCCCATTTATTTGAAATAAAATTTAATATCAAGATTACTTACTAGATTTTAACCCAAATGTAGCAACGTAAGTACAGTATTAACTTGTTACACTAAACCTGCAAGTTCATGGAAGCTGCATTTTGAGCTCACAACTTAAACTGAATGTTCTTGGTAGAAGGTGAAAGAAAAGCCTTTATGTTCCTTTGCCAGTGACATATGTAGTAGAAATGCTTTTGCAACTTAGTCAATCCTGTTTGAGTTCTGCTAAAAGGGAGTCTGATATTCTAAGTCCATGAGGATGGCTTTTCTGTTTAATAACATATTATGCTTTAATTTCAAGCAAAGGCTAAAGTTAAGATCTGTTATGCCAGATTTTTTCTGCTAAATGTTACAAAGCATAAAGACTAATAGATCTTAAAACAAACAAATATTTAGCCTTCTTGCATGCGTTTTCAACCTTTTTTTCCTAAATTAAGCATCTTTATTTTGTTCTCTCATAATTGTATTAGTTTCTGAAAGTAGCAAAAAATGCACTGTGTCACTAATACTCCCCGCCACCATAAAAATACGTATGGTTCCAGTCATCTTGCGCTCCTTCTCAGGCAAAAGATCCTGAGCTAGGTGTGACTTTGGTCTGACCCAGTGTGGCAGCCATTAATTTCTCATCGAAATTCCTGACAGAGAATTCAGTAAGCAAAGAACATAATAACCTTTATCTCTTACTTGAGGGTTACACAGGTTATAGATACTCTTTTTCTTAGATAATTTTTCCCCCCTTGAGGTTAGGGAAAACAGGAACAAAAATAATGCATTGGACAAACTTAGTTATTTTGTTTACTGTACTTCTGTCAGTAGGAACTTGCTACTACACAGAGCATCTCATGCCTTTTGCACAATAGATGTTACATAAATTGGTATAAAATTGTGTGTGTCTGAAAAAGAAGGGAATTGCATAGCAATAGCTGAAGGGAGTAGTTGTCAATTTAAGACTTCAGAACACAACCCTGAAAAGTCAATACGCTATGAATTAATTAAGAAGGGCTAAATGGTTTATTGCTAGCAGTAAAGTGTGGCCAGAGCTAAAGATCAGTTTTGTGACATTCAGTGGGTAGGGGTTCAGGGCAGTTGTGTTGGCTAAGTACTTCTTGAGCCATAAAAGCCTCTTCCCTTTGGGCTCAATCTGTGTTATTTCTTTGTGCTAGACAGTTGGGGTTTTTTCTTGTTTGTGTTTGGTGGGGAGGGGGAAAGGGGAGCTTTTTGTAGACTGCTGCAGGTATGGCCCTGGGATATCTTAATTTTCTTCATTATTTGGAGGAAAGGAAGTAGAGGATTTGCTTCTGAACTTTAAAGTTCAGGGCTGTCAGGCATTTTAGAAATTAAGAACCTCTATTCAAATCTGCTTTTAAAGATAGCAAGTCTATAAGACTATTAATTAAATAGTGCTTAGTGAAGGGATTTTGTTTGGGTCTGAAATAAGAGAGAATGGCAAAGAATAAGCAGGTGCTCTAGGGCTTAGTTACTTGAGAGGTAATGATTAAGCATACGTGTGGCCATTGAGAGCAGTGCTGCCTTCTGCCCAGCTCTGCTAAGCAGAAACAGTGAACCAAGTTCTCAGTGCAGCAGGATTTGCAGGGCTCTTGCTGCCATTTACAGTAGCTGAAGCAGTCTCCTGTCAGTCAGGTGCTGCTGCTTTCACTCACTGAGAAGACAGTGAATTTTGATAATGTTTGCGAAGTAATTTCAACAGCTTTAGTACTTCTAAGCTTGTAAATTAAACTGTAAATTCTGACTGGTTTTCTAATTTAGCTTTCACACCACAGTAACTACAAGAAATGTTCCCTGTTTCAGGCTTTGCTGTTTCTGTATTTTAACCACAGTACTATCTTAGCTGCAGCAATATGAAAGTGGAACGTGCTTTTCTGGCATATATCTTAATTCCAAAAAGAAGTTCATCAGTTTCCTCAGTAATTTCTCTACCCGCAGACTTTGCCCACACTTACAAGATTTCACAAGATGACCCCCTTGGAGCAGGAAGAAACTGTTCAAATTTTCTACTGACATAGGACCACCCACAGATGTTGAAACAAAAGTCTGGTTCAGAGGGTCTGGTTAGCTACTGCTGCACTTTGCCTTGTACATTTGAAAAGTCGAGCCCTTTAAAATAAGCCCTGTTTTTGAAGCCCTAAATGAAAAGAAACTGTGTGCATTCTGAATAACAGAAAGATATTGGAAGGCAGAAAAAATAATCACAACTTAACTGTTACACTTACTTTGTTTGGCATAAGCATGCGGGCCTGGCCTGGGTTTTCAGTTAAGGTATTTCTAAGGTCTGCTGTTGGATGGTTCTTGCTTTAAACATTTCAGGAACTATCCCAGCATAGTGGAATAACAAATTCCAAGATTGGAAACAGTAAGGTCCTAAATGGAAGGTTTTGCCCTCATGTGATACAGAGAATGCTTTTACCTGCTATACAAGTCAAATTCAGTGTCAGGAGTGGCTCATGCCATGAAGAAAGGCAAAGCTGTAGTATTAGAATGCTGTGTCATTGCACAGTGTACTCTGAAACATATTTCAAATGCATGGAAGAGGGCAATACTCTGTGGTGAAAGAGTGCAGCAGCTAAAACTAGAGAACTGAATTCTCATTTAGAGAGCATCAGACGTACCTTTGGAAGCCCCATAGCAGCACTCAACTATTGTGCAAGTTGCCTGATCTCAAAAATACTTCCTTTCAGAAGTGTCTGTCAGCTGGAACTTCTAAGTTATCTTGCTCAGACATGCAAGATTAGAGGCTTACGACCACGTTTCTAGCAGGGTTTGTCAAGGCAGACTCTGTATCAGAGGCTTGCAGGGAGTGACTGCAGAGGAGAGGTGGGAACGTGTTCTATCATGCAAACACAGCTGGGGTGGGAGTGGAAAATTTTTAATTTTTCTTTTTATTTTTTTAACAAGGCAATCTCCTTGGAGGGTTTAACATTCCCTGCCCAGCAACCGGGCTGCATTCTGTACTGCTTTGCTGCTTGATGTCTGCCACAGACCTGGAGCTCTCTACTCAAATGCAAATCTAACTGCTTAGGGAGAGTTTTTTTCTTTCCCTTTTTTGTAATTACTGTGGGTTGTTCAGAAACCAGGTGCAACTGCTACAGAACAAATTGCTGATAAAACTATGTAGCAGAAACAAAGCAGGAGGGAACCTGGTAAGAAACATTTCTTGCGTGTTTTCTTCTCAGATTTTTTCTAACCCAATAATGCACCGGTAGCGACTGCACCAGTTCAGCAACTGTTTGTGAAACAGACTTCCACTGAAACATCTTCTTCAGCAAGGCCCCTGAGTTGTCTGCAAGACCTACAGACTGCTTTAGACCCTGTGGTTGACAATGTATAAGTGGTTAGGAGCTGCTATCCTGACCCAGCTGAGAACAGCACATGAAAATATTAACAGCATTTATGTGTTAGGAGCAGTACCTCTTAGCAGCACCATGTCTTAAGTCTGCATGGGTGCTCAGCTATGAAAATTAAAGAAGATAGATTTCTCATACAATGCTGCCTTCACAGAATCTGGAACCAGGCTTGATCAGCCTTCAGCCTACCTTTCTTCCATAGGAAGAATAGGATTTTAACAGAAAGAAGAGGAATTGAACATGGGAACTGAGGGAAGAGTCTACAGGAATAATTGTAGCTCTGTAATGCATTGCATCCTATGTGGACGTCCCACATTTTGTGCATTTCCCTGTACACTATAATGGTTAGGACCCTCCCAGGGAGTTTCTTCTGTGAGCAGTTGCTTCCTAATATGAACAGCAAGAAAATCAGTCTCTCTAACGTTTTATTCTTTTTTCCCAAAAGTAGCAAGGAGTTAGTACTTTTACAGATTATCTCAAATACTTGTTTTGCACAAAGTATCCTTTGAATTTCACTGTGGCGTTTTGCCAGAAGCTGCTTGCACATGGTTAGCTCTGTGTACCCAGCTGCAACCCCTTTGTGTGAAAAGCTTTTTATGCAACAAATTCAGGATGAATTATCAAGAATAGAAGTCTACATTTGCATTCCTATATGCTGATTTAGGCAGGTAGGTGCATAAACAGTATGCCTTTTCTTAGAGCTGTTGAAGTTCTCAACAGTCAGAGCAGTGAAATCAGGCTTATATCCAAAAAATCTCTTGAATCATCACAGCTGGTCTGGCAGTGAAATTTCTGGAACTATGGCTACACGTGATTTTGTGTACCAAGTCCAACTTCTGCTGTCGCTTCCACAGCTTTTTGGTGCCATTGCGTGCCTGGATAATGTGAGTGGGTTTAACAACTCTGATGAAATCTGTTTAATCCTGCAGCACAGGTAGTGCAGTCTTGGTCTAGCTGACACCAGCAGCTTCTTGCCCCACTAAAAGCCTAACTGCAGTTCTGTGAGACAACTTTATGACTCACAGTGGAAAAAACAAATAACCACTGATTACTGAGATGCATTTCTTTTCAAGTTTGAGGAACCCGAGTTCCAGTCAGCTTTACCAGTAAAGCAGGCAGGCTTTATCTAGCTGTAAGCAGAACCTGGCCTTGTTCTATATACTGCACACATTATCTAACTTGCTTTGGCTGGGATCGATAAACATTGCAGAATCAAACTCTGAAGTTTTCCTGGTGTTGAGGGTCATACTGTCAGGGTTCCTGTGCATTTATATGCATTCTGGGAGCTTTACCAAGGCACTCCTACTACTGAGGAATAGAGGCATTTTGCTGTTTAGGAAAAGCAACAGAAGTCTCTAATTCTGCCCCTGTACACCACAACTGTTGATGGTGGAATGGAGCTGTGATGCCGCTTGACTCCCGGCTCCAGACAGGTGCACTGGCTGCTGGTAGTAGCCAAACTTGCCCTGTTTTACTTTCACAACTTGCACAAGCTTCAAGTCTTGAGTGAGCAGTAAAAATAATAATTAAAAACATGTGATCACCTGTGTGACTCAGTTTGTGCCATTGCATGATGGTAATTCTGAATATTAATAATAGCAAGAATAGAGAAAGTTGCTCAGTGAATGCCCTAGTAAATTCTTGCCAGTTGATCCCTTTCATTTACCTTCCCCCCCCCCACCCCCCACA